ATCCCTTTGGCAATTTGGTTGGTATAGAATTAAGAGTGGAAATTAATTTTGGCAACATCATCATTTTTATTATATTGGCACAGCCAATTATCACTGAATGTTCCTCCAGCTTTTTAATCTGTCCTTTATTTCTTAAGGAACACTTTATAAGTGAATCTGTATGAGTCTTTTGCATACTTTAGGAGGTCAATCCCTAGATAGTCTATGCATATTTATTTGGAATAGGACTTCCCTTTCTATTATTGTTTCTTGTGTTTCATCATGATTCTATAGAATTTCTGTTGATTTTTAAGGATTCATTTTGTAGCTTTAAACTGCCAAAGCTATTGTATCAATTTGTGTTTTTACTGATTCCCTAGGATTTTCAAAGTAAACCAACATATCATCAGCAGATCGAGACAGTTTAAGATCTCCTCTTTACATATCTTTATTCTTTCAGTTTTTTTCCTCTTATCTTATTGCTGTTGCTAACATTTTCAGAGCTAAGTCAAATAATATTAATGAGAGTTTTTCCAGAAGTTTCATGTGGTGCTGAGAAATATGTATATTTTACTGTACCATTTAAAAGGCATGATAATTTTTTTCACTGTAGTTTCTCCAGCGATTCATTCAGTTCCATATTTTCTCTTTTGTTTATCTTTCTGTTAGACTTATCCAAAACTGAGAAGCCTCTTGTCATTATTGTGTTACTGTCTATTTCTTTTTGAAGCTAAGATGATGTTTCCTTTATGAATTTGGATTCTAAGGCATTTGAAGCTTAAAAGTTTATTATTGATATTGGTTTGTTCTCTATAGTTCCTTTCAGTATAATATAGTTTCCTTGTTTGTCCCTTTTTATTTTTTCAGTGTTTGTTTTTGCTTGGTCAAATAGCATGATTTCAAGCCTTGCTTTTTTTGGATGCTCTTGGATGCTTTTCCCCTTCTCTCACTTCATGTACCCTCCCGTGTTGTAATGTAACGCCTCCCCCCAAAAAAAAGGCCGCTGATTCATCTGTAGCTTCTGTATCCTGTTTCACCTCTGTCTCATTGTGTACGTTTAAAAAGCTGTCTCTTACTGGTCTCTGCTCTCACTTCTGTTGCTATTGTTGTCCTTGTTTGTTGAATTTATTTACAATGCCTGCATCTCTGTTGTTCAAAGTGCTGAGAATCAAATAGCCTCTTCAGTTCTGTTTTTCTTGCTAAAAAAAGTTGCAATTTCATTGTTATTATTGAACATCCATCTTCTTTCCTGTATGGTTAAGCTCAGATTTGAAGGAGAGGTCTCCCTGAGTTGTGTGCTTAGATCCACTGCTCTTTGGAACACATTATTCCATTCCCATCTACCTTTTCTAGTGAGTGCAGAATAGTCTTGCATTATTCAAATGCCCTTTCCTTTGTATTTTAAAGTCTTTCTCCTGATCACTTGCTGACTTCATTGTTTCTAAATTGAATTCTTTTGGTTTCCTTCATTTACTATGTTAAACTTTTTGTCTTGTCATGAGCTTCTGAGTTATCTCAGTTACAATCCTTAAGTTATCTCCAAACAACCTTTTTTCAAGATCAATATGTTTTGCTTACAGATTAAGTATATTTTCTTTTACTGTTATCATTCGTTTTTGTGTATTTGCACTCCCAGTCTATTGTTCTCTCTTTTGTTTCTTTGGTGAGATCACTTTCACAAATTCAAGTTTTTCTATTCTGTCCATCATTTTTGCTGTGCAGGCCATAAATTCTGCTCTTGTAATTCTCATTTCTCTTTTGCATCACTGAGGAACAGCAGGTTCCATGTTCTCCTCAAGTTCCACAGAATCCTCTGTCTCATCAAGTGTTGGATCATTTTCTTTTGTTTTGCAATAGTTATCCATAGATGTTTGAACTTGTTTACTAGATCTGGAAGCCATATTTCCTTCAGCTGTTACTGTTTTTCCTGTTGATTTATCTGTTTATATTCAAAATCTTTGAGTTTTTTTCTTCCTGAAATCTTTAGTAATTTCAGTCCTCCCCTTTCCCCTTATTTCGCTATCATGCACTTTTTGACTCCCTCCTTTCTGGTTGTGATTTCCTTAAGAGCTGGATCTCAAAGCATCTCAGCCTCCCTTCATACTGAGAAATTCACAGTTCACCCGTCTGTGCCCCCGGTGACTTAGGTCAGAACTGGCTTCCCACTGAATGCTGTGCTTTCTTCTTCAGGTTCAGAGGAGTGCTGAACACCCTTCTCCTCCCCCACCCCACAGGACACTGTCCTAGTATCCTCTACCTCTCTCTCTCCTTGTTAGTTCTTGACAGAATTGGCAATCCAAAGCTTCCCACCACTGTTGCCACAGGGTTGTCTGCACCAGCCCTGCTCTTCTGCTGTTACAGGACTGTTGTCCTTGGTAGAAGCAGTTCAGAGCTCTCCAGTGCCTGGCACACAGTAGGGCTATATACATATTAATCATCACCTAACCTCCCTGGTACTCTGTTTTGTCATCTGTAAAATGAAGAGATTGTATTAGATGGCCTCTGAGGTTTTCTCTAGTTCTAGATCCTATGACTTTGAGATACTCAACCTCCCTGGGCTCCTGAGAGACTACAGTCACATAGCTATCTACTGCAGCCAAAGCAAATTTCTGTAGCCTAGAGACAGGGTCTCTATGGTGCTAGAAAGAGGGAGGAAGGACCTGGGTGTGGGAGTAGATTTTCTTGAAAGCCTGTTGGGTTCTTGGGTCTGCTAATGCATCCAGTAATGTGGGAGGTCGGGGAGGGAGTGCTAAGAGAGCCGAAGATCAATGACTGTGGGTTCATGGGATGATGTGGGGCAGAATTACAGGTCCCATGCCCCCCTTCCCAACCATGCGTACTACCTGACACCTAGTAGATGCTTAATAAATGCTTATTTAATTAAAGCATTGTGCTAGGTACCAGACATCCAAAGACAAGGGTGAAACAGTCCATGCCCTTGTAAAGATGACCTTTTGCTGAGACAACACAGCATGTACAACAGAGGCTCAGCCCAGAAAAACAGAACAGAGCCAAACTGTTCATCCTTAATCTTCATGTGTGGTAACCCCTCTGGTCCAACTAGATCATAAGCTCTTTGAGGTCAGGGCCTGTGTCATTTTTATCTTCGTGCCCAGCACAGTATCTGCACATGATAGACACCTAACAGATGGTTGTCAGTTGATTGATTTGTACCCCCACGCTCCAAAAGTGGCTGCCCCTGGAGGCCAGGATTTGTCTCACTTGGTCTTGTATTCCCATACTGACAGTGCACCTGGACCTTTGCGCTGGGACATTGAACAAGCGGAGGGACAGTAGACCCCCCTGCCAAGGCAACATCTGCAGCCAGCCCCCACTGCGGGCTTTCTGAAGATTCCCCACAGTCACACACAAGCACCTCCCTCAGCCCCACTTCAGCAAAAGTGAACTCTAAGTGCACAGCAGGAGCTCCACACCCATCTCCTCCAGGGTCTTTCCTCTGGTTCCTTCTCATCCCAAGGCCTCAGCCCAAAAGGCAGAGATGTCTGGGTACCTTGCTCTCCTCTTAGCTGCTGCCCTGGTTCCTGGTAAGTTGTCTGCCCTGGTGCTCTGGGAAGTTGGGGAAGAACTGCCCCTGGCTTCTGGCTTGTCACCAACTTCTTTCTGCCCTCCCTGCAGCTGGCCAGACTGCCATGATCCTGGAGCAGAGGGTTATCTCCATGATCCGAAACGTAGGAGGGTCTGCCATCTTGATCTGCGAGATTTTCAGCCCCACATTTGACAATATCCACTGGTACCATTACCAGGAGGGGAGGGCCCCAGAACGCCTGCTGCGCTACTCCATGAAAAAGTCTGAGTCTGTACTGGACCCGGGATTCAGCCCCGACAAAATCAGGGCTTATAAGGGCAAGGACAACAGCTGCAGACTAATACTGAGTAATCTACAAATGAGTGACTCTGGAATGTATCACTGTGCCAGCTGGGACGGACCACAGTGGTATAGGCTGCCGCAGCTCCTGAGCAAAACATGTCACCTGGAGCAGCTGAGGTTTTCCTCAGGAGCAAGAGCCCTACTTCAGGACAGCTGAATACCTTCACTTGGACTAAGATAATCCTAAACCCCAGAAATTTCCTCAACTCTGAACCCCAAGCCCAGGAACTTTGGCCAAGATGTTTGAGAACATAAATCTTTCAGAGGTCAGTAGAACCCCACTCTTTCCTCTGCCGAGAACAGACACAGCACTGGCTCTGAATCAGAGCACGTGGGTTCAAATCTAGCCTCTAATACTCACTCCCTGTGTAAAGGAAGCAGGCAGGTGGTCCAGTGGATGGAGTGCTAGGCCTGGAGTCAGGAAGACCTGAGTTCAAATCTGGCCTCAGACACTTCCTAGCTGTGTTATCCTGGAAAAGTCACTTAACCTGTGTTTGCCTCACCTTCCTAAAATGGGGATAATAATAGCACCTCCCTCCCAGGTTGTTGTGAGGATCAAATTAGATAATAATTGCAAAGTGCTTAGCACAGTGCCTGGCACATAGTAGGTGCTACATAAATATTAATCATTAAGCATCACGTAACCTCCTCGGCACTCTGTTTCCTCATCTGTAAAATGGGAGATTGTGCTAGATGGCCTTTGAGGTTTTCTCTAGCTCTAGATCCTGTGACTCTAAGTTACCAACCTCCCTGGGTCTCTGTTTCCTCCTGTATGAAAGGAGAAGGTTGAAACTAGAAAAAAATAATATTATCAAATATTTATGTGATGTTTCTAACATATTATCTCATTACATCCTCATAATATGCCTAGGAGGTTTGTGCTATAATTAGCCCTATTCTGTCTGGAGTAGAGATAAGTTAAGTGATTTGCACACAGGGTCACAGAACTAGTGAGTATCTAGGTCAGGATTTGAACTCAGGTTTTCCTGACTTAAAGTCTAGCTGTCCCAGATGAGTTCTGGGGTCCCTTCCAACTCTGAAACTCAGATCCTGTGATCTTGCACTTCTCCAAAGAGGAGATCAGGGAGGGGCTATTATTTGAGATATGTCTTTTTCTATGTTGTCTCTCCCTGGTTAGATCCAATGCTGAAAGATGACTTGTTCACCATCCACATTGAGAGAGTTCACTTGACTCTGTTCAGTGGTACATGGGCACTAGAAGTTCAAGGTGGAAATCATTTCTGCAGAGACCCTTTTTCCTCTCATTTTCCCACTAACTGCTAAGTACTAAGTGCTTTTGAAGCCTAGTTCACATGCCACCTTTTCCATTATGTTCTCCTGATCCCTCCTATAAGTAATGATCTTCCCCTGACTCACATGGCACATTGCTCTGCACCTCTCAAATTCACTTGGCATATAATGTGATAAGTTACAGTTATTTATGTGTAGAAGACTATGGCTACATGTTCCTGGAGACAACATCTACACCTCACAGAATGGGGTGCTAACACCCTTTCCCATTATTTGGGTCCAAAGCCACTCAACAATATGGCTTCTGATCCCCCACCAATGCCTTTAGTGATTAGCCACAGGACAAAATTAGTTCAAAGGAAAGGACATTTAATGAAATATCATGAGGAAATTACAATAAAAAATTCCCCCCAAAATATTCTTGGGCACTGTATGCCACAAATGCATATACTGTTAGTGGGAAGAGAGAAGACCACACAGGGAACATACGTGACCCAGGAACACTATGTGGAGCCAGGGCACAATCATGGCTTCCTGTGCCTCCAAGACTGCAAAGTCACTGTTATCTTCTGATGGTGTCATCACATGGCTCCCACTGGATTTGATTCCTGCTAGACCCATTGTCTTCACCAGCTGCAACTCCACTGAGTGTCATCTCCAAGAGAAGCATGCTGCATCCTCCTCATGAGAAGAGTGGACTCTTCCACACTCTTTATTTAAAAACACCCCACCCCCAGCGACCCTCCAGAGAGCTCGGAGCGTCATCCTTGTACTTCAAGGCCTTCAAGAAGGACAGACCTGAAGGGCAGGAATCACGCTTTTAGTATATCCAGGGTTCTATAACATAGCCAATTAAAATACCTTTTATCACCACACAATATGAATCCCATCATGGCTAACAGGAAGAAGTCAGAGGATATCTATGACTGCTCTAAGTTGGAAGAAGAGTTTCTGAATCGTGCACTTGGGAAGCAGACCCAGCCCAAGCTTCTAGGCACCTAACTGATCATCTTTTAAGGCTGAAGTAGGTGTGTGTGTGTGGAGAGGGGCAATACACTTGTCCTTCTAAAAAGTGGCATCCAAAACTGAATGCAATACCTCCAAAGTGGTCTATGAATGAATGAACTTATGAATGAATAAAAATACATTTATGAAGAGTTTTCTATGTGTCAGGCACTGTGCTAAGCACAGGGGAAATAAACATAAAAGTCAAAACAGTCCCTATTCTCAAACTCATGGCACTTGAATTCTAAAAGGAGAAGACAACACATAAGGAAGTAGTAGACAGGGAGGTGTGTTTTTGACTAGGAATCATGGAGATGGTGAGAGGTGTCATAGATCAACTGACAGGCATGAAGTTTCTAGGAATATTAGTGCCAATTTGATTATTATTCTAAGGGAAATAAGTGGAGTGTGTGTGTGTGTGTGTGTGTGTGTGTGTGTGTGTGTGTGTGTGTGGGAGAGAGAGAGAGAGAGAGAGAGAGAGAGAGAGAGAGAGAGAGAGAGAGAGAGAGGAGGGAGGGAAGGAAAGGAGAGAGGGAGGACATAGGAGTGACACCAAGTCATGAAAATATCCACAGAGATACTGGAGACATACAGGGAGACACACAGAGAGACACATACAGAAAGCATTTACTGTTCATTGTGCTAAGGACTGGAGGAGGCAGAAGAAGACAGAGCCTTTCCCTTCTTATTGGTGGATTCTATTTCTCCCTCAATGCTGAGTAAGTCCAAATGACCTTTTTTGGCTACCATATTAACTCATATTCAGTGGACCTTTGGACACTAAAAGTCCCAAACCATTTCCAGACAAACAGCTATCTCCCCATAGTTTTTACACTTGTGAAGTTTATTGTTTATACCCAAGCATAATAATTTGTTTATCTCCATTCAGTTTCATCATATTCAATTAAGCCCAACATGTTAGCCTCCCAAGAGGTTATTAAATCCTGATCCTGTCCTCAGTGTGTTAGCTCTTCCTTCACACTCTGTGTCATCTTTAGACTTAATCAGTAAATCATTTATGCTTTTATATGTCATTGATAAAAATGTTAAACAGCACTGAGCCGTATACAAGGCCCTAGGGAACTCCACTGATGACTTTCTTCCAAGGTACCATTGAGTGGTTAGTGACTACTCTTTGTCCCTGACCATTCAACTAGTGTTGAATCCATCTGTGTATATAGTACATCTGAATGTTCAATAGTCTAGTCTACAGCTCCCCATCTTACCTACAAGAATAGTATGAAATCTTTTACCAAACAATTTCTAAAAATCTGGGTAAATTATAGCTACAGAATGGCCTTGATGAACCCATTTAGTAATCTTGTCATAAATGGGGATAAAGTTTATTTGTCATGATCCATTCTTGATGAGGCATTGAGGTGGTCCTGTGGATAGACTGCTGGGTTTGGAGTCAAGCAAGATGATCTGAGTGCAAATCTTGCATCTTAAATTTACAGGCTGTATGACCGTAGGCAAGTAATTTAGCTTCTTCCAGCCCCAGTTTCCTCATCTGAAAATGTGAGTTAAGAATGGCTCCTACCTCATCAGATTGTGGTGAGTAACAGATGAGATAACACATGTAGAGTGCTTTGACCACCTTGGAGAGTTATAGAAATGCAATGTCTGGAGCTGGCTGGCTTCTTTTAATCATCATTTCCTTTCCTAGGTGCCTGTTTACCACAGCTTTAATAAGACATTCTAGAATTTTATCAGTAATTGAAGTAAAGAGCACTGGCCAATAGTCTATAGATCACATTCTGGGTTATTTTTTTTAATTGGCACCACCTTTGCCCTTCTCTGATTTAGTAGGACTTTTCCTATTCTCCATGATTTTTTCAAAGATCACTGTCAGTGACTACTCCATCATATGTGACAGTGCTTTCAGTACCCAGGGATACTGCTCCTCTAAGAGAGGTGACAGATTCAGCTAGAATAGCTAGGTGTCTTTTACTATCTTCCTACTTCTCGATGGAAGCAATCCCCTATTATTCCTTTGTGTTGTCTCCTTTTCTGCTCCAGGTTCATTCTCACTGGCAGAGAAAACACAAAGAAAATAACAATTGTACAACTCTGCCTTCAACTTCATCAGTTATTATCATACAAGTAAGTCACTCTAAATGGGGTTCTTATTTATTCTTTGATCTTCCTCTTTTCCCCATTATAGCTCCTTTAAAAATTGATCTGTAATCCTTATCTTTCTTTACTTAACAGTCTTGCTCCATTCTCAGCTTTAGCACCTCAAAGCATTTTCTAAAAGATCATGCCACATTTCTTTCATTAATTTTCTATTATCTACACTTGCTTTTGTCCTCTGTGCACGTCTAACAAAAATCTAGTTTGGTTAATGAGTTCCCTGTGTATCCACATTGGTCTCTTTCAACAACTACCATTTTACCTCCTCACTGGAATATTTTCTCCTTGTGTCTTCAAATCTTCACTCTAAGGAGTTTCCTATTTCTTCTACATAACCATCCCAGAATTCTGGGACCTGGAACCGTTCTACATATTTTTTAGTCCTTGAAGTCTTCTCTCCCAATATCTAGGGCACACAATATACTATGCCTGGTTTTCCTTTTTTTCTATATCACAAACTCTAAGATGGAGTAATCATTTGCAATTATTTTCACCCCATAAATCATTTTAGCAACAATAACAATAAACAACAATGACATAAAATACCATCATTTATGAAGAGCTCATTATGAGCAATACACTGAGCTAAGCACATAGGATATGGAGACATAGAAAAGGTATTTGCTAAGTGTGTTTTGACCATTATCCAGTTTGACCCTTACAAAATTGTCCCATGTGGTAGGCACTATTGGCATTATTATCCCTGTTTCATAGATGAGAATACTCAGAGAGTCCACTGGGCCCTTGGTAAAGTCTCCCCACATCCCTCAAACTAGAAAGCCCCAATGAGAGCCATTTCTGCACTCTTGAGTTTTGGAAGGATGTTGTGCATCCAGGTTCACACGGGGGGCTTTGTGTAGGGGACAGACATTGGCCTGAATGGTCTGTAGTGTTCTGTTGTTGACTCACTGTGTGACATTAGGCATAACTTTGTGTCTCATTTCCTGGGTCTATAAAATGAGAGGTTGGATTCAATGATGCCTAAGGTCCCTTCTAGCTTTAACATTCTAGTACCCTGAGGTGCCTTCAGAAGACTATGAGCAAGCCCAGTACTGCCCAATAATGGATACATTTAAAAGGACAAATTATAGTGCCTGGTACATAATAGGATGCTTACAAAAGGGCAATGAGTTTAGGGAGAAAGGATGGAGAAAATGGGAATGAGAAGGCTTGGGAATCATAAAGTTTGGGTTGAATATGCACTAAATAAGATTAGACAGAAGCCGGTTTCCTTTGTAAATTAATAGGCGTTCATTCTCGTTAGACTCACTTTGGAAAACCAATCCGTTATTATTTCCCTTAATGGAGAGCAGAGTGATGTCTTTACCTTCCTGTCCATTGAGCCTCCTGGAGGCTTACCTCCTTTTGGTTTCTCTCTTTGATCTCTTCTGCTGGCACTCTGTCTGTGTTCAGTAGAGGTTACTAGACCATAGCACCTGCCTCCCTCCCCACCCCCAGCCCAAAAAGAAGTGCCTCGAGAAGATCAGTGTTGGGAGAGGCCGTTCTGCTGGGTGGTCCCAGCCTCCCAACTCCTCTCCTCTAAATCTCCCCAGACGTGTAACTGAAAAGAAAGGTCTCTTTGCAGCTGGGAACATGGGGGGAACCTTTTTCTTGCTTTTGCTTTCCCTGATTCCTGGTGAGTGTGTTGTGGTCACGGCACCCTTGTCCTGGGGGAGGGGGACAATCCAAGGCTCCTTCATCCTCTTCTCTCCCGCTGGTTTTATTTTCATTCCAGCTCATCTGTCCAGCGCCCGCCTGGAGCAGGAGGTCTCTGTCATGGGCATTCAGGGAGGCTCTGCCATCCTCACCCGTCAACTCTTTGATTCTATTTCCACTGTGGTGCCCTGGTACCGGCTCCAGGATGGAAGGCCCCCAGGGCGCTTTCTCTACTTTTCCTTGCACCTAGGCACAGCCAAGTTTGATAGGGGTTTTGATGATAATAAATTCCAGGCCCATAAGGATGCATTTAATGATGGGAATAGTGCCTTGCTAAACAAGAAGCTGGCTGTGAGTGACACTGGCATGTATTACTGTGCTGTCTGGGACAACCACAGTGCCCCAGGAGGTATCTCCTCTCCACACAAAATGCCCTGCTGTCTTGAGCAGCTTGGAGCAGCTGGTACTCAACACAGTAGGGCAAGTTTCTTCTTCAATCCTACCCTGCCCTTGCTCACTTCAACGTGTGCAGGGACTTAGCTAATCTTCCCTCCAGGATGAGGAAAACCCCTCCTTCAGCCCAACAGAGCCTGCCACCCTCCACTAAACACCTAGCCCACACCCTGAGAAAATTAGCCGAGAGCACATAAGTCCATCTTAAAATTCCCTGGGGTTAATTGAGTTACAATTCATAAGCACACAATTTTTATGCTTGGACAACTCCCTTAGGTAAATTTAAAGATCCTAATGTAATGAGAAGATTGGCCAATGAAGTCAGAATCCTTGGAGAAAGCTTAGATTTCCTTTCTCTGGTGGGTTATACAAGGTATGCTGAGGTTCTGAACCACGTTTGCACACAAAAAGATTGAGACATTCTTCCCTTGGCTCTTTCGTATGTTTACTTCCCGGCTAGGATGAACAGTAACGTACGTCCCCTTGTCTCTCCAGCATGCCTGCCGCCTGGTGCAGGCTTTCCTCCTCTCCAGATGGCATTATGGTAGTAGGTTCTGGTTGGGCCCCCCTACCTCAAGTCTCTCTCTATTCCAGTCCATTCTCCAAAGTTCTTTCTCCTGATGTGGATAATTTTTTTTTAAAGCAATCGGGGTTTAAGTAAATTGCCTAGAACCACACAGCTAATAAGTGTCTGAGGCCAGATGTGAACTCAGGTCCTTCTGATTCAAAGGCCTATGTGCCATCCACTGCACCACATAGCTTTGCCCCCCCCTCCCAGCACACTTTTTCAGGTGCGTAGATCTGTTCATTTTCCTCCTCAACTCTTAAGTCCTCAACAACACCCTATTACCTACTGACTAGCATTTAAACTCTTAAGTCTGGCATTCAAATCTTTCCACAATATGACACCATTCCCAAGCCTTATTTTACATTACTACTTTCCATCTACACACTGGACCATTTTCTGTCCCCCTAATGGGTCCTACACTTCCCCACCTCCACGCTTTAGTTATATTATTCACTCTGTTTAGAATATCCTCCCTCCCACTCCCCACTTCCTATCTTGCAGGCACTAGGGGGTCACTGGAGATTATTAAACAATGATCACAGCAACAACAATAACAACTAATATTATGTAGCATATTAAGGTTTGCAAAGCACTCTACAAATACAACCCTGGAAGGTAGGTGCTATTATTATGCCCATTTTACAGATGAGGAAATTGAGGCAGACAGAGGTTAAGTGGCTTGCTTGGAATCATGTAACTAGTAGGTTATCTAAGGCTGGATTTGAATTTGAGTCTTTTTGATTCCAGTGGTCTATCCACTACTGTACCTGCCCATGGTCATACTTATGCTTTAAGAAGATCAATTTGACCTCCAAATGGAGAACGAACTGGAATAGGGAGAGACTTGAGGCAGGGAGACCAACCAGAAGGCTACTGCAGTGATGCAAGCTGGAGAGGAGGAAAGCTTGCACCAGTGTGGCAGGCATGTTAGAGGAGACAAGGGGACATATATAAGAGATGTTGTAAAGACAGAAACTGTAGAACTGGAATCAGATTGGCCATTAGGAATGAATGTGAGCACTGGGTCTGGGATGACACAGAGGTTAGGAGCTTGGATAACTGGGAGGGTGTCCAAGCCAACATGCCCCCAACAGGAAGCTGGGAAGAGAGGATTTGGGGGGAATGACAAAGAGTTAAGTTTGGGTCATGATTATTTTAAGATGTCTACAGGAAATCCAGTCTGAGATGTATCCAATGAGGATGTGTCTCTGGCTATCTTTTTCTGGGTCTTGCTTTTCTTGACCCAGAACTGTCACTCTTGGTCCATTCATTCTTCATCAGCAGCTTGGCCAGAATGCTCCTGCTTCAGGTGACTCCTGTGATGTCTCTTTCACTTGACAGTTGATTTCGGACCAGTTTCTTCTGCCCCACCCAGCCCCAGTGAGAGAAATCAGGTCATCTGACCACTTGTTTGCTGCTTTATCTCCTTTTTCTCACTCAGGTCCAAATAGAAAAAGAAAAGTGAGCATCCCCCAATCCCATGTAGGCAAAGGGCACAATGATCTATACATTGAGGAAGGCTTACCCACACGGAGCCCAAGCAGAGGTTCAAAGCCAACTGGGACTCTGTCAGCAATGTTCTTCAGGAACTAGGACCAAACGGAGATAATGGAAGTAATCAATTCTGGTCCAATTAAGCAAGCATTTATTAAGTGCTTGTTGTGTGTTGGCCCTGGGACGGGTGCTAGGAAGACAAAGCTAATTCAGTTCTTTCCCTCAAGGGACTTCCGTTCTATGGGGGGGGGGAAGGAATACATAAGAAACTTAGGATCATTTAGGGGAGGAGAGACCATTAACAACCAGGGGGAGGAGAAATGCTGTGTCTTAGGAGGTGACTGCAGCCTTGAATAAGACCAGGATCTAAGAGATGTAGGTGAAGAGGGAGAGAACTCTGGGCACAAGGCATACAAATGCCAGAGGCAGGAGAGGAAATGACAACTTTGTGCAGCTGTAGGCAAAAGGCCAATTTTTTGGAACCTAAAATGCATGAAGGGAAGTGATGGGCACTGAATCTGGACAGGCAGCTTGGAGCCAGGAATCTTTACCATCACAGAAGCAGCAGGGAAGCAACTGAGATTCTTGATCAGACCAGAGCACTGGACATGTAGACAGGCAGACCAAACTCCAAATCCTTCCCCAGATACTTCCTAGGTGGGTGACCCTGGACAAGTCGCTTAGCCTCTGTTTGCTTCAGTTTCCTCGGCTGTAAAATGGGGGATAATAATAACACCTACTTCCTCCTCCTGGCTTGATGTGAGGATAAAAGGAGACATAATTGTTAAGTGCTTTGCAAACCTTAAAGTACTATATAAACTCTAGCTAGCTGTAGTAGTAGTAGCAGCAGCAGCAGCAGCAGTAGTAGTAGTAGTAGTAGTAGTAGTAGTAATAGTAGTAGTAATAGTAGTAGTAGTAGTAGTAGTAGTAGTAGTAATAGTAGTAGTAGTAGTAGTAGTAGTAGTAGTAGTAGTAGTAGTAGTAGTAGTTGTTGTTGTTGTTGTTGTGGAGCTAGATGGCTCAGTGGATAGAGTGCTGGGCCTGAAGTCAGGAAGACTCATCTTCCTGAGTTCAAATATGGCCTCAGAAACTTACTAGTTGTGTGACCACTTAACCTTATTTACTTCAGTTTCCTCATCTGTAAAATGAATTGGAGAAGATAAGGACAGATCACTCTGGTATCTTTGCCTAGAAAACTCCAAACGGGGTCATGGACAGTTGGACTTGACTGAACAAGTAGTAGTAGTAGCAGTAGTCATGGTAGTAGTAGTAGTAGTAGTAGTAGTAGTAGTAGTAGTAGTAGTAGTAGTAGTATAGTAGTAGTAAAAATATATAACAATTTCTCTCCTGATATAAAAAAAAATTATTGAACTCCTAGAAAACCTGGAAGCAATTACCTGGCTTCTAACAGCTAGACAGTGACCTTATCACCAGAATCCCCTTTGGCTTCTCTGCCCACACTGACTTGGGAATCAAAAGCACAAAGGGGCAGTGGCTCACTCAAGCTCATATGAGCAGCAAAGGGCAGAGCAAAGCCCTGCACCCAGGTCCCCTGACTCCAGATTCCTGTGACCCTCTCCTCTGGCATTGGCTTCCATCCTGACTTTTTCCCTTTTCAGGATTTCAGTCAGTGTTGCTGTATCTTCTCCTGAGATGCTTTTGCTGTGTCCCAGTGGACAAGGCAGGCCCAGCTACAGCTGAACCCCACCCCCATAGGCAGGCTTTTGCTTTCTTTCTCCTTGCTTTAGATCTTCTTTTTGAGAAATGATAGTAGCTGGTATGTCTACAGGGCTTTAAGGGTTACAGAACCCTTTACACAGATGAACTCTTCTAAGATTCATAACAACTGAGCAAGATGGGGCAGGTGCTATCAGTATGCCTGGTTTTATAGAGGAGGAACTGAGGCTCATTGAAGTGGATTAGCCTGTGTTCCCACAGCTCCTGAGTATCAGAAGAAGGATTTGATCCCTGTTTCTCCCGACTGTATGTCTAGCACCCTTTGCATTATGACACCATTTAATCTGTGGACTCTGAAAACTCATTTCATCCCAGAGCCAGGCCCACATGGACAGTTAAACTGGAAAGGAGATGGAAGGTGAGGGAGATGGTGCTTCATGTAAAGTGATGCCAAAGTAGAGAAGACTGGAGAGTCAGAAATGCAGCAGGTAGAGGAGAAAATCAGAGGAAAAGCTTCCTGCCAATGAACATTCACCCAAAGTGGAATGGGCTACCTAACGGGGAGGCAGGTCCTCCTTCCTGGAGGTCTTCAAGCAGAGCCTGGACAACCATTTGTAGAGTACTTTGTGTGTGTTAGACTAGAGGCTGCTGCAAACCCATCCAACTCTGAAATTCTGTGGTTCTATCTTCACATTTATCCTTATTAAATTTCATTTTGTTCAACTCAGATCAATATTTTTTCTTGAGCTGAAATGAATCGACCAATCTATGTGAAACAAGAATTGCCTGTTTAAGGTAACTCCAATTGCTTCCCCCTCCCAACACACACACACACACACACACACACACACACACACCCCTAGGGGTTAACTTGTAGTCTAGGCTGACTAGTGCTTCAGTCTACCACAAGAGGGCACTAGCGAGTGAGAACTATGTGGACTCTGGAAACTCATTTCCTCCCAAAGTCGGGTCCACTTCTACAATTAATCTTGGAAAGTAGATGGTGGAAGGCAGCAATGGTACATCATACAAAGTGAGACCACAGTGGAGAAGCCTGGAGAGTCAGGAGCAAAGCAGAGAAGCCACAACAAAGTCAGTATGAATCTGACCATTCAAAAAAAACTGGCAAAATTGATGTTGGCTTCAGAGCAGTTGGAGCTGGTGAAAATGGGGGAGGGGGGATCCTAAAATGGCAGAGCTAGAAGGATTATTCAAGACCATCTCTTCTTTCACTGCTGAGGATGCAGAATAAGAGCACAAGTGCACATTTCTATCATGCTTTGCAGTTTACAAAGCCTTCCCAAAGACTAATTCCCTTCCCTGGTCACTTCTCTTTGCATGAGTCTGGAGGGAGGAAAGACTTCATCACCTTTCACTGGGACAATTGCAATGGCTCCCAATTGGTTTCCTTGATTCCAGGTCCTTCCTTTTTCAATCCATCTTCCATACAAAAATAAAAACAATCTTCTTCAAGCCCAGGTCTGACTATGTCACCCTCTGTCCAAGAACTTCCAGTGATTTCTTAATGTTGGCTCTGAGATAAAACACAAATCGTTCGGCTTGACATTTCAAGCCCTTTGCAGACTGGTTCCATCCCGCTTTTCCAGAGATTTTCTGCAACTCCGCTTTATGCAGTTCATGTTCCTGTCCAATGAGTCCTCTTGCTGCATCTCTGTCTGTACAAACTGTGCCCCATGACTGTCATACATTCCCCATGACTGCCTTAGTAACCTTGCCTTCTCCCCCCAAGCTTAGCTCTAAAGAGAACCTTTCCCTGATCCCCCTAATTATCAGTGGCCCCTCGCTCCTTAAATTCCCCATGTTTGCTTCTCTGTGTATTTGATGCTTCCCCCTCAGAAAAATGTAAACTCTTTTGAGGCAGGTACTGTCCCTTTTTACCTTCATATCCCCAGGACTGAGCACATGTGCCAGGCACAGAAGAGCAGCCTAATAAATATCTGTTGAATCTCATCATCAGGTGCAAATGCTGGGAAACAGACCAAAGGATTTCAAGATTACTTCCCCAAGGGAACGATGTGGATGGGTTGCTAAGAATAATGGATGGTTCAGAATAAGTCTGAGGTGGACAACAAGAAACCAGCATCTTCTATCTTCAGCTCACCTGACACAGCTTAAAAGGCCATAAGGCAGTGTTGCCTAGTGGAAAGAGTGCTAACATCTAACTAGATGTCAGAAGGCCTGAGTTCAAATCCCAGTGCTGCCATTTACTAAAGAATCATTGTGAACACTGGCTTTGGGATCAGAGGAGCTGAATTCAACTCCTGCTTGGGATACTTAGGATTTATGGCAACAGGGATTAGATATTGCACTTGTCTGGGCCTCCATTGCATACTCTCTCTCTCTCTCTCTCTCTCTCTCTCTCTCTCTCTCTCTCTCTCTCTCTCTCTCTCTCTCTCTCTCCCCCCCCCACCTCTCCATCTCTCTTCTAGTTCTAAATCTCTCATTCTAAAATCATTGCTTTAAGTATTCCTTAAGTGCCTACTATATAGGTGCTCAGCATGGGCCACACAGAGATGAAATAGACCAGTCCTTAAGGGGCCCCCAGTCTACTGGAGATGAGGGGATGTGACCTGTACAGCACAAGGTAATATGGCAGAGAAGAGCTCCAGAGAATATTCTCTAGAAAAAAATTGAGGAGGCCGATCCCTCTTTTCAGAGTCTCTGTGTCCATCTCTGATATTCTGGGATTCTGTGACATGGCCTTATAGTTTATGGTCAGCAGCAAATGGTCCAAGGCACCCAATAGCAAAGAATGCTCCAGGGAGAGTGCTGAGCTCTCCATGGTGCTGGAATTGATGCTGCCTCTAATTCCCCCCACACACACTTTTTCATAAGTAGCAGTGGCTCATCCCATTAGCTTAGCAATATGGTCTGTGCAGAATTATGGTTCTCAAGCCTCCCCCCACTCCCCCCCACACACACTCACCTACATTCTTCATCCAACATGAAGATGGTACTAAATTTCTTACTTTGGGACTGTGGACACAGCCTAAAACTAAGTAAACCCACCAGTATGTAAAGTCATCTCATTATGAAGGAATACTCATAGAAATATTCATTTTGGCCTCTAGACTTTTTCTTGGTATTTTTTACAACCTGCATATGAAATTAATTGTAAGATATTGGGGAAGGTACATGCAAAGTCAGCATGCATATGTCTACACAAGAAACTGGCAGAATTGCTGTCTGCGTAAGAGTTGCTAGAGCTGATGAAAAGTCAAACAAAGAAATGGATAAATGAATAAACAGATAGATAGACAGACAGATAGATAGATAGATAGATAGATAGATAGATAGATAGATAGATAGATAGATAGATAGATAAACAGACAGATAGATAGATAGACAGACAGACAGACAGACAGTTAGATAGGTAGATAGATAGATAGATAGATAGATAGATAGATAGATAGATAGATAGATAGATAGATAGATAGATAGATAGATTATAGATAAATCTTAAAATGGAAGAATGAACTAGGAGGTCATCTTTTCGACCTCCCTACTTTTACTAATGAGGACACTAATAAGAGCTCAAACATGCATTTCTAACATGTTTTACAGGTAAGGAAACCTCTCCAAACCCTAATTCCCTTCCCTGGGCAGTTCTCTGCTAGATGTGATTTCTACTCTGTGGTACACTGGTAAATGTTTAACAACCAGGTCTCCAAAAAAAAAGTATACACAACACACTTTCAGTTTAATTTGCATTATTAACATCTTCTCTATCATGTCCTTAAGACTAGCCAGTCACCAATGCAATAAATCAAGCCCTGACTCTTAGCATTTGCCTAGAAGGGTAAATATTCGCACTGCAAATTTAGATCAGTTCTGGTGGGTCAGGAAACAGCTGGCTGCAACACAGCACTGTCTCTACCCCATTCACATGTGATTTCTTGGAGGGCAAGGACTGTCTCATTTGTTTGTATTTGTATACCCCAGCCAGCACTTAGCAAAGTACCTGACATATTCACTCATTTATTTCCTTTCATTTATTCCTTCCTGACAGCCTCTCTGTGACTTTGGTAGCACAAATATTATTGTCCCTATTTTGCAGATGAAGAAACTGGACAGGGTGAAACTTTCAAAATGATAGAGAACAGGGATAAATTCACTCAATTCAATTAAATTCCAAAATCATTTATTAAGTCCTTCATGCAGCAGAGGAACACCCAATACAAAGCCAACTTGTAGAACTTCCTGCCTGATCCTGAGAGGAGTCTGGAAAAAAATAGATGAGCTCCACCTCAGGATGAACACTAAGTTTTTAGAAGAGTGACATCCTCAAATCTTCTTCAGTGTATAACTTTTGCCTTTTGTTGAGCACTTACGATCCTGCATGGCTGTTACTGGTGATGAGAAAACCTATGAATGGCTGGGTCCTACCCCAAGCACGCCGGGGTACCATAATGGTGCGTTTGGGTTTCTCCTAGCTCTAGATGTAACCCCCGTTCCTTAATCGAGTCAGTGTCAGTGGCAGCTCTGTGAGTGTTTCCTCAAGCATGGATTGAATCTGGGCTAGCTCTGCTCTCTCCTCTAATTGTAAAACAGCTACCCACCCCAAATTTTCCCAGCTCCACTCTGTGACTCTCTCCCTTACTTTTCAGATAGAGAGGCATCAATAACATTAATATTAACATAACAATAACATTGCTCTGCCTGCCCTCTTTCACCTGTGCACCCCAGAAAACCATGAAGATATTCTGCATTCCATCTGTCCTCTACCTTCAACATCACCTTGTCATGCAATGGTATCTCCAGGAAGTCAGGCAACTGCTTGTGTGTCCAATGTGTCCTGTGCATCTCCTCCAAAGCTGCCCAAGAGTTGGCCACCAAGGACTCTGACTGGAGGCAGAGAAAAGGAAGAGCCTTTCCACCGTAACCATAAACAATATCACAAAAGCAAGTGAGGCCACCTATGATAGCACTGTTGGTATCTCATAGGGGCAAATAGCCAGAGGAGGGGTTCTGTTAAACAACAATCCCTCAGTATTTTTAAAAAAGAAGAAAAATGCTTCCTTCTTGGTCTTCCACCCATAATGACACCTTCCATCCATTCAATCCAAACAAATTCTGAAGCTGTTTTCTAGCCTTAGCTTGCCTGTCACAAATAACCCTCTTCCGTAGGGCTGGCAGCAGTCAGGTTACTTAGCCGCATCTCATTCCCCATCAGCTGCTGAAGGAGTACCATCTCCCATATAGATTTGCTGGAAACAACTGGATCTTGTAGAAGACAGGCCACTAGACTTGGATGTGAATCCAGAAATCATTATAGGACCCTCCACTGAATTGTAGGATCACAAATTGAGACCTGGGAGGGGCTTCAGAGGTCATCTAATCCAAGCCAAAGCTGGAGAGACCAAGATCCTTGGAGGAGAGATGACTTATCTAGGGTCACACAGCTGTTAAGTGGCAGAACTAAGAGAAAGGATCCATGTGCCCAGTTCCCTTCCTCCTAGAAGACAGGGGTATGAGGAAAGCCCCAGGTCCTTTAAGGGAATCTGTGCACTAGTGTCTACATTGCTCTTGGGGTGTGGGCATTCAACCTCCTCCTATATTTGTCAGCAGACCCTGAGGGACAATTCCAGTGGGTATCTGCAGCACTGGAAATTGCACTTATAGGGGCTGTCTGCCCCAAGTGATTTTCATCCCAAATCAAGCTAACATCCAATTTGATAAAGGAAATCTCTGGCCTGGGCTTAACTGCTTCCAGTTAAGTTAGAAGGACAGCACCATCTTTCTTAGCTGTTGCCACCTTCCCAATCGGCCTCAAATGAAAATCTGGTAAACACAGGGCAATCTCCAGAGGAGGGTAACCAGGATGCTCTTGTCGAGGACGAGAAGGAGAGCTGCAACTGAAGCACCATCTTCCACATAGATTTCCATTTATTCTCCTTTTTAAAAATTAATTAATTTTTAATTTGAGGAATATAACAAGCATTTCCATAGCATAGTATGATAAAAAGATGATTGCACATGAAACTGCAAATCCATTATGTACAACTTGTTGTTTCTTTAAAATATATGATGAAGTTATTAGGTAAATTTCTTTTTTATCCTTTTTCCTCCTTTTTTTCTTCCCTTCCCCCAAATTATTCTATACATACTTCTATTTATCAGTTCTTTCTCTAGATGCAGATAGTATCTTCTTTCATATGTCCTTTGTAGTTAATTTGGATATTTATAATAGTCAAAATGACTTGGTCACTCAAAGTCATCCTTTAAACAATATTGCTGTTACTGTCTACAATGTTCTCTTGGTTCTGTTTACTTCACTCTTTATTATTTCTTGCAAGTCTTTCCATCTTTTTCTAAGATCATTGAGCTCATCATTTTTTAATACATAATAGTATCCCATCACAATCATATATCACAAGCCTCAACTGATGGGCACCCCTGCAATTTCCAGTTCTTTGCCACCAAAGTAGCAGAGAGCTGCTATAAATCATTTAGAAGATACAGGTTCTTTTTCTTTTTCCATAATCATCTTTGGAAATAGACCCAGTAGTAGCATTGCTAGGTCAAAGGCATAATTCCAGATTGCTCTCCAAAATGATTGGATTAGTTCACAATGCCACCAACAGTGAGTTAGCGTCCCTGTTTCTCCACATATTCTCCAATATTTGTTGCTTTTCCCTTCAGACATTTTAGCCAATCTGACAGGTGTAAAATGATATTTTAAGGTTGCCTTAATTTGCATTTCTCTAATTACTAACAGTTTAGAGCATTTTTTATATGACTATAAATTGTTTTGGTTGCTTCATTAGAAAACTGCCTGTTCAATATCCTTTGACCATTTATCAACTGGGGAATGACTCATATTCTTATATATTTGACAAAGCTCTTTATATGTTTGAGATATGAGACCTTTATCTGAGAATCTGTCTACATGATTTTCCACAATTTATTTATTCTCTAAATATAGGCTGCCCAAATATCTCAGAGCAGTTTTAAGCTTAGAATATATAGATACAGATAGATATGGAGATATATATATATATATATATATATATATATATATATATATATATATATATATATATGTATATATATATATATATATATATATATATTGATCTATCTCACTATATCTCTTTGACATCTTCCCCATTAGAATGCAAGTCCTCGTGAATAGAAATTCTCTGTCTTTTTGTCTGTCTTTGTCATTCTCAATGCCTAGTACAGTGCCTGACACAGAGGAGAGTCTTAAGAAATATGTGTTCTCTGATTGAATGATAAGTTGACTGATGTTACTTAGGTAGAATCAGAAATGAATGCTTGTAAAACCCAAAGAGTAATTACAAGCCATTGGATGAAGAATGAGAGTTCCCCAGGGGGAGGGGCTATTTGGTTTGGTTTGGTTTTGTATCTTCAGCCCCTAGCATGTACATATTGGCACACTGGGGGTATTAATAAACATTTGTTCAATTGAATTAAATTCTAAATTGAACTGAATTCTATCTTCCATCCTCTCCAGGCTGCATTTCTGACTCTTCAGACTTTCTCTATGATGTTAGAGAAACCTCTTAGGCTTGGAAGTTCATTTCACCCCTAGACATCTTGCACTAGAAGTACCGTTTGCCTCATGTCCTCCTTCTCTGGCTGATTCCTCCCAGAACCTCCATTTTAAAAAGCATGCTCAGGCCAGCCATGCCTTCATTTCCCTCCAGACCTCAGTCATAACTTTGGATTTTCTCTACCATGTACCTGCCCTGGTATACCCTTCCTTCTTCCCTCATGAGAATGCAAGCTCCTTGAGAGCAGAAACTGTCTCCCTTTCTAATTTTATTTGCATTATTAGGCTCAGCACAGTGCCTTGCACATGTTAACTATTAATCAATCAATCGATAAACATTTGTTAAATGCCTATTATGTGTCAGGCACTGTGCTAAGCACTGGGGATATAAAAAGAGGCAAAAGACAGCCACTGCCCTCAAGGAGTTTACTGTCTAATTGGGTAGACAACATGCAAACAAATATATACAAGCAGGATAAGTAGGAAATAATGAACAGAGGAAAGGAACTAGAATTAAGAGAGGTTTGGGAAAGCTTCCTGTAGAAAGTGGGATTTTAGTTGGGACTTAAAATCAGAGAGGTCAGCAGTCAAAGTGGAGATAGAGGGTTGTTCCAGGAGCGTAGGACAGCCAGAAAGAATGCCTAGAGAGGGGGAGTGTCCTGTTCATGGATCAGGAGGCCAGTGTCACTGGATCAAAGAGTGCGTGTCGGGGAGTAAGATGTAAGAAGACTGGAGGCAGGTTATGAAGGGCTTTGAATGCCAGGCCGAGCATTTTGTGTTTGCTTTTGGAAGCAGTAAGGAGCCCCTGGAGTTTACTGAGTCTCACACAATCAGACCTGCACTTTAGGAAAATTACTTTCGTGGCTGAAGGGAGAAGGGATCCGAGTGCAGGGAGATCCAAGGCAGACCCACCAGCAGGCCGTTACAATGATCCAGGTGTGAGGTCATGAGGGTCTGCCCCAGGGTGGAGCGAATGTCAGAGGACAGGAGGGGGTATATTCAAGAGACGCTGCAGAGGGGAAATTGACCATCCTCGGCCATACCTGGGGCATGTGGTATGAGAGACAGTGGGGAATCCTGGCTGACTCCTAGGTTGCTTAATAAACACTTGTTGATTTGCTGACTTGATTTGAGTTTCATTGAGTTGCTTTTGCAGAAGAGAAGACTTGGGGGTATGGGACTTAATAACCATCTTTGGATAGCCTAAGGATGTGGAAGGATTCCACTTGTCATGACATCACAGGGCAGAGCCAAGAGGAAAAGGGAGAGGGTAACTGTTTTAAGTCCAGGCTGGATGCTGGGGAAATCTTCCCACTAATATCAAAGTTGACTAGGCTGTCGCAGGAGGTGGTGACCTTTCCCTCCTTGGAGTTCTTCAGAGAGAGACTGGACAGTAACTTGTTAGGGATGTCATAGCAGGGACGGTATGTAGCAGCTCAGCTATGGGCTGGACTCAGTGGCTTCCAAAGAATTTTCCAGCTCTGGAATTCTGTGCCTGGAGAGTTCTACCTCCTCCTCCGCGCGACACAAAGACCTTGTGCTCAAGAGTTCAGCAGTTCAAAGTGTTGACAAAGCCAAGACCTGGAGCAGAAGATTTTCATGGCTGATCTTACTCCTCCGTTCAAAGCATCCACCAACAAGGCAAGGAGAGGGGGAAGGGCCCCTGACATCTGCCTTGTCCTGTGCACCTCTGCTGAAGACACAGGAGGGCCTTTACCTTTCCAACCGCAGTACAGGGAGCCCAGCTGTAGTGAACCACTCGCAGAGCCTCCAAGCTGAGCCTGAGCAAGCTGGGCAAGTTGGCTGTCCAGCCTTGGGTGATTCTGCCCACATTCCCAAATAAGAAAAGAAGAGGAGCAGGACGACCTGATGATCTCAGGGGAAGAGGTGGGAGTTATAGACAGTGGCTGGTTAGCATTCTTATCAGGCATCTCTGCCCTTGATGTAGTATTAATAATGCAATTCTGCCCCCAGAAGTAGAGTAGGTGGTTAAAATAGGCTGAGGCAAGTAAGATTTTTATCAGGATCCCTCGATCCTGCTCCCACCACCCCAAGCCACCAACATCCTGTTTCTAACAGCACAGGATGTGCTGCTTCTCCTTCCCATCTAACAGGAAGCTGAGCAGGTGCTCTTGGAATAGAAGGCTTCGACCTCAAGCATCTCATTCTCCCAAGCTTCTTGGATTTCCAGGGAGCAGAGCAATCACACACACACAGGATGGTGTAACTCTTTCCATTACCTGGGAGGTAAAGTTCAGACTTCCTGGCCAGCACTCACATGCCCTGAGGTTACTGCCTGGCATGGATTCCAACTGCAGCTCTGGCATTTGTTTTTTGTGACCTTGGGCAAATCCCTTCCCCTCCCTGGCCCTCAGTTTCCTCACCTGTTCAGTGAAGGATTTGGACTAAATGATCTCTGATGTCTCTTCCACCTCTAAATCAATGAACATATAACCTTTGTAAGTTTCATTTTATATGTAATACTTACATATGTAGGATGATAGATAGATAGACAAACAGACACAGACAGTTGGGTGGATAGATAGACAAACAGACACAGACAGATGGGTGGATAGATAGACAAACAGACACAGACAGATGGGTGGATAGACAGACAAACAGATGATAGAGATTAGATAGATAGATTTTGTTTTGTTGTTATTCAGTTGTGTCTGACTCTCCATGACCCCATTTGGGGCTTTCTTGGCAAAGATAGTGGAGAGCTTTGCCATTGCCTTCTCCGACTTATTTTACAGATGAGGAAACTGAGGCAAACAGAGTTAGGTGACTTGGCCAGCATCACCCAGCTAGTAAGTATCTGAGGCCAGATTTGAACTCAGGAAGATGGGTCTCCCTAACTTCAGGCCCAGCACTCTGTTGTGCCACCTAGCTTCTCAGATAGATAGCTGGATGGATGAGTAGATGATAGACACATAGATACACAGATAGATACATAGATAGCTGATTGGATGAATAGATAGTAGATAGATAGATAGATAGATAGATAGATAGATAGATAGATAGATAGACAGATAGATAGATATTGTACCTAACTTTTCCAATCTTCTTACACTTTGCTCTTCTCTACATACTTGAGACCCGATGACACTGACCTCCTAGTGATTTCTCGAAGTCCTTCCCTCTTCACTAGCTGCCCCCATGCCCAGAATGGTGTCCATCCTTGCCTGCCTCCCAGATTTCCTAACTTTCTTCAAAACTTAGCTCAAATCCCATCTTCTACAGGAGGCCTTTCCTGCCCCCTCCCAATGCTCTTCCTCTAAAATTACCTTACAACTACTCTGTATATACCTCATATTCACCTAGTTATTTATGTGTTTTCTCTCCCATGGGAATGTGAGCTTCTTGAGGGCAGAGACCATTTTTTTTTTTGCCTTTCTGTGTATCCCCAGCATTCAGCACATTTCCTAATACACAGGATGGTTTTAATAAACGATTGCTGTTGCTTGATGACCACGTACTATGTTAGGCTTGAAGACTACAGTGAGAAGAGCAAAACAATTTCTGCCAGAGAATTTAAGAACTGGAAGGGACCTTGGAGTTCATCCCTGATTTTACAGATGAAGAAACTGAGGGAGGCTAGGAGTGAATAAGTGACTTTTCCAATGTCACCAAGAAGTAAGGGTCAAAAATGGGATTTCAGACTTCTGACTCCAAATGCTGCCAACAAAACATGACCAGATGAGGAGACATAAAATATGTTCAGAATCATTTGAGGCATCGGGAAAGCACTAACAACAGGAAATGATGAAGGGCCTGGAGGAGGTGGCACCTCAATTGATCCCTGAAGGCAGGTAGGGATCTCATGGCTGCAGGGATGGAGGAAACCACCCCAGACACCATCCCTTAGGGTGCTGGGCTGGTGCCTAGGATGTTCACCTAGAAAACACCAGTGAACAGGACAGTGAAGCCTTCATGCCAAGCCCGAGATGCGCATGGGCACTCTCCTGCCTCATCACACAGGCACTACCCAGTCACTGGGATTCTATGATTCAAAGCCCCAGGTCAGCATCCAGAAGATAAAATGCGGAACAAGGGTGAGGGAGGGGAAACGAAATATGGATAGAGGTAGAGAGAAAGAAAGCTACATACAGAGATACATTGATAATAGATAAATACATAAATGCATAGAGAGATGGAGATAGATACATATGTACAAAGGCATCTGGATAGCAAGACCTTAAGATAGCAAGATACATTGTTAATAGATGCATAGAGGTAGATACATATGTAGAGAGATACATAGAAAGCATAGATACATAGATGCATAGATACAAAGACATATACTTCTATATATAGAGATACATCTAAATACATCGATAGATATGTAGATGCACAAAATATTTATTAAATGTCTACCACCACCAGGCATTGTATTAAATGCTGTGGATACACACCCCACAAGGCACCAAGAAATCCCTTAACTTCCAGGCTCTTGCATTCTATTGGGAGAAGACGATGTACAAAAGTAAGTCAGAAGGGAAGCATTAGAGGGGAGCAGGGCAAATAGAGACACGGGACAGGACACTGGAAGGCGCTCATTCAGGGCAAGATAATATGAAAGTTCTCTTAGCAGAGCGCAGAGCACTTGAGTGGAGCCCAGGTGGCTCCTGGGGAGAAGGTGGAGATAATGACTTCTTTCTCGTGCTAGGTCTTCTTTAGGTAGAGATTTGGTCACGCTATTCTTCTATTCAAAATCTTGCAATGGCTCCCTATTTTCTACTGAAATTCAGACTCCTGAACTTGGCATTTCAAGATTCTCCAAAATCTGGTACCTTCTCTACTTTTCCAGGTTCATCTCCTCAATGCCTTTCCATGTGCTCCATACACCAGACACACTGAACAGCTCATTACTTCCTGGGGAGCCCTAGGCCTTCTGGCCCCTGTGTCTTTGCTCACCATGCCCCTGCCCAGGGGTGGGGAACCTGTGGCCTTAAGGCCATATGTGGCTTTCTAGGTTCTTAAGTATGGCATTTTGACTGAATCCAAATTTTACAGAATGAATTCTTTTATTAAGGACCTCTTGACCATTGATTTCATACCAGTTTCTTCTACTCACCAAGCCCCAATGAGAGGAGCCAGGTCATCTAACCTCTTATTTGCTGCTTTATCTGACTTTTCTTGATTAAGAACTTTTTTCAATGTAAAGGAAAGAAAAAAGAATAAACTGATACCCCAGTGGCAGTGGATTGCTTCAAAGAAATAAGAAGAAAGTAAAAGTAGCCCAATGACCTCTGAGACCTCTGAGGTTTTCTCTAATTGCTTTATTATCTGCAGAAATTCTCCTGAAAAGACAACACACTTGTCATCTCTTCTTATTCTAAAATATGTGGTTCCTTCTCAGGACTGAATGTTTTTAAAGCCATTGGTTCATCACTACTCAGCTGCAAAGAGGCACATTCCAGCTTGATGTCTGTCAAAGCTTCAGGATGATCAGAGCAGGTCAAGAGTGGGCTAGTTGAGGGGCCAAGGGGCACCCACAATGGAGAGGTCTTCAAGAAAAGATTGGCCAACCACCCACTGAGCATGGCCCAGAGGGGATCTATAATCAGGAATGGGATAGACTGGATGTCTCCTGAGGGCCTGGACTGCTGGGAGATGCTGTGGTTCAGTACAAGACTGTGTGGCTCTCTGGAGGACTGCCCCTACATACCTCTTGGATCTTTCAGGACCCAGGGCTTTTCTATAACCAAGAATAGCTGTAGACTCTCTTAAAAGGATGTGATTTTGAGAGTTCATCAAAAGCACACAAAGGGGATTTTTTCCTAGGCTACATCATTCCTACATGAGGCCAAAACAAAGAATGAAAGTGTGGTCCCAACAAGTCTGGGCATGGGAGCCAACTCTCCTGCACCCCCAAAACAGCCAGCCCACTGGCAGCAATCTCTCATCATTTTCACATGCCCTCTTCCCAAATTATACATGGCAACGACTGCTCATTTGAATCACTCCATATAATACTTCATTTGTTCATTTAACAAGCATTTATTAAGCCTCCACTATGAGCCAGCCACTTCTGGGAGACATGAGGAACACAAAGAAATGCCCCCACCCCAAGGCAGCCCCTGAGCTTGAGGACTTTACATCCTACTGAGGATATTAGCATTACACAGATAAGTTGACATAATTGATTTAGAACTGGAAGAGATGTCAGAGGTCAGCTAATTCAATTGTCTGATTGACCGTTGAGGAACAGGGACCCATGGAGGGCAATTAACTAGGCAAAAGTCACACAGGAGTGTGTGTGTGTGTGTGTGCGTGTGCGCACGCGTGCACTCGCGTGTACGTGCACACGTGTGTGCATGTGTGCGTGTGTGCATATACATGTGTGTGCACGTGTGTGCGTGTGTGTGCGTGCACATGTGCACGCGCATGCGTGCATGCAACAGAGGCATAAAAAGTCAAGCTTGCAGCAGGGACTATGATCCTTCCATGCTCTATCTGTCTGAAACCTTCAAAAGTGATTGGAAAATTAACTCTCCAAACACCCATTTTGCTGGGGGGATTGGAACAGCAGGACAGCAGATCAATGCCAGAGCTCATTTGTTTCTCTTTGCCAAAGGTAAAGACACATTTGAAGGCCCAATAGAAACAGTCTGAGTGAAGGACAACAAATGAAAGATCATTGTCATCCCTTCACCAGAGGGAGACTGGCTTGTTCTTGGGAGTAGCCTGGAGTCAGCAGGGAAGACACTAGACGGGAAGTCAGAGAGACTTGGGTTGAAAGTGAAGCACTATTTCCTATGCTTCTAGTGCATGGCACATAGTAGGGAGTTAATCTAGGCAATGTGGAATAGAATCCTTCCACTGATGACCCACATGGTTATTGGGAGGAAGACAATGGGGATGGACCCTGTGCTTCATTAGTATAGTTGAGGAATGTCCCTCTGCCAATGCAAGCTGCCTCTTTCTCTACAACCTACAGGCTTGGAGAGTTGTCAAGAAGATTAAGAGGTCTGGAGAGCAATCAGCAGCTATGCCCCAAAAGTTATAAAACTGTTTATCCCCTTTGACCCAGCAATTCCACTACGAGCTCTGTCTCCCAAAATGATCAAGAGAAAAGGCAAAGAACCTCCATGTTCTAAAGACTGATAGCGGCTCTGTGGTGGCAAAGGACAGGAAACTGTGGAGATGCCCATCAGTTGGGGAATGGCTGAACAAGATGTGGTATATGATTGTGTAAGTAACGTAAGTAACGATGAGCTCGATGATCTTAGAAAAACATGGAAAGACTTGCATGAAATAATGAAGAGTGGAATGAGCAGATCTAGGAGAATGTTTGCATACAATGATAGCAATATCATCTTAAGAATAACTTTGGGTGACCAAGTCGTTTTGACCATTATAAATACCCAAATTCACTACAAAAGACTTATGAGGGAATATGTTACCTGCATTCAGGAAAGAACTGATAAACAGAAGTAAGTATAGAATGGATTTACATACATACATACATACATACATACATACATATATATGTATATATATGTATATATATATACATATATGTATATATATGTATATATATGTATATATATGTATATATATATACACACACACATATATACACACACTATATATATACATATATATGCATATATGTATAAATTTATGTCTAATGGTAGCTATCTGTAGGGTTGGAGGGAAAAAAGAAAATGAAATGATTATGTATTTACATTTAAAAGGAAAAGCAAGTTGACCATGATAGATTTGTGGTTTCATGTGCAGTGCTCTCTTTTTCTATTTTACTTTTTCTATTCTTCTTAAGTACAGAAAAACAAAACAAAACAAAACAAATATTTTCCTTTCATTTTTTAAAATCCTGCAGAAAGAAAAGAAGAAGAAAATTGAAAGGTTCTGACTTACCTAGGGTTAAAGAGCCCCAGGACTTGGATCCAGTTCTTCTTAACCCTGAGGCTCCCTCTCTGTCCATTCTCCATGTTACCTCTCAATGAGAATAAAGCTTTAAATAAATAACAGATATTCTGATTTAGAGGATGGTGTCTGAGGAGCCACTGGCAGACATCCTCAGGGTTTTCAGGGGGGAGAGGGTCAGAAGGAAGTCAAGGCCACACTGCCATAGCTCCATCTTTGGGCAAAGGAAGCAGGAAGGTCAATCAGCATTGACATCAGCATGCCTGGCCCCCACCCATGGAGAGAGCTCTGGTCTGCTCCTCTTAGAAAGGCCGGATGCACAATGAACGTTAGGCCAGGATCGAGCAGCTCATCATCTCTGCTGACACCCCAACAGGCCCCCTCGGGCCACTCTGAGCTGATCTCTATCCATCAGGCTCCTTGCCTCCTTGGGTTCTCCTCAGCCCAACAATCGGCACAGCCAGAATGAGCCTCTGCCAAATGCTTGCCATGGCCACCCTCTGGGCCTGTGAGTTAGTTTCTCCCTCTCTTCATGTAAGGTAAGAAGCAGAAGAAATTCTCAAAAGGATCTCTTCACATCTCCGTGTTCTCTTCTTTTATTTCTAGTTGGACATGAAGCTCTAGAACTGAAGCAGCCTCAAGTCTCCCTCACTAAAGACCTGAGCACAACAGCACGTGTGACTTGTCAAGTGTCTAGCAGTCAGACCTTTGAGAGCAAATACATACACTGGTACCAGCAGAAGCCAAGCCAGCCTTTACAACATCTGCTCTCTGTCCAGTCAACCAGCATCCCCAGCCAAAAATCCTTACATGAGATACAGAAGAAATTTGTGGCAGAAAAGAATAAAGACAAGGGAACCTCGATCCTAACAATAAGCAGTATAACACGTGAAGATGAAGCCACCTACTATTGTGCATGCTGGGAAGACCACAGCAGTCAGCCCTCACTGACAACACCTACAAGAATCCTGCCCTCCTCGCGTCCCTCCCCACATCCTCTTCCCTGGGGGCCGCCTCCTCATTTCTGGCTCCCATCCCAGTTGGTCTGCCCATAACACTTCCTGCATTTCTTACCGAGACCATGTGGCCCATGTCTATACCATACCACATTCCTGCTCCAACTCACACAGGTTCCAAACTCCCTCCATCACCATCATAACCGTTCACATCTCTACAGGGCTCTAAGATTTCCATTTGTTTTATGAGCTGGGCTAGACAGCTTCAGAGGTCCTTTTCAGTTCTCAAATTCTGTCATTCTGCTTTTCGGCAGAGAGCCTTACATCATATTGTATTGTGTCATCCTCTTCACCACACTATGGAATAGGTTCTCTTTCCATCCCAGCATCACCTGTCTAAGGAAGATTTTGAACCCAGATATTCCTGACTCCATGTCTTGCCCCCTGTCCAAAGTTCATGCACCAAAGCTGGCACTTGGATCCATTATTCCTCAGGAGAAATTAAAAGAAACATGAAGAAGGAAAACATGAATATCCTCTCTTAATTCCTTAGATCTCCGAACCAACCCAAATACATTTTCAGGTAGAATTTAGACTAAGTGACCAGGGAAGTGCCTGCCAACACAGAGATGCTATTTCTCCTCATTGCTTATCGTTGTGATGGTTCATTATCTTTGTTAGTCAGCAAGTGTTGATTCAGGTGGAGTGTGCCCAGTGCTGTGGGGAAGACGAAAGGAGTCCGAGACAGGGTTCCCTTCAACAAACTGTCCTTAGCCTTGGGGGAATGCTATGACCAGCAGTGAAAGAGAACCTGTGTCTATAGATGGCCAAGGCTGGAAGTGGAGGCAGGGAGGGAAGGAGATCTGTGGCCATGGAAGCTGGGGATGGGACACTGAGAGTGCTTTATGGGAGGAAAGCCAAGCAAAATGAATGATTTCAGGAGCCAAAGCTAAAAAAACAAAGTGATGAGAATTCTAGAAACTCGCCCCTTTTTGTACAACAGATGCAATTGAAACAATAAAGAATTAAGGAAATTCCTTGAGAAAATGTTCTATTACTATCCTCTGTGGGAAACAAGGCTCCCAGAATAATCATCTGTGTTTTCAAAAGTGTTTCTCTACTATTGAAAACTCACAGTTGCCGTCTATCAGCAAGCATTTATTAGGTACCTTCTGTACAAAGTAGCTCACCTTTTCCACATGCCAGGTAACTCTCTGGTAAGATAAGTTTCAGAATGTGTTCATCTACATTGGTTGAGGATCTTCCTTACTGGGAGTTCCCTACCTCAATGAAATCATAGGTCCAAAATAATAATAATAATAAAATGTGCCTTCCAGGCATTGTGTGGGTCCTAAAGATGCAAAAATAAAAACTTCTCTCCCCTCAATGACTGTATGTTTTATGAGGAAGTAACATGGATGCATATATAAGAAAGTCAAAAATTAGTCCAAAACATGAGATGGGGACTGGACCAAAAACTTCCAGGTGAGGAAATTTCTTCTATCAATAGAGGCCAGAGCCTTTTCTCAACTTAGAGCCTTAGAGGTTTTCTTGTGTTACTGGGAGTTTTGATTAATTTCCCAGGGTCACCTTTGTCAAAGATGTGACTTGAACTTGGGCCTTCCTGATTTTGAGAACAGCTCTCTATCCCTTACTCCAAGCTGCCTCTCATAAAAAGGAAATACCACCTAATTTAAGTGTGTGTCGGGGCAGGGACTGGTAGTGAGAGGGAATTCATGAAGGCTCTTCTGTAGGACAATATAACTGGCCTAGATCATTAAAGAAGGCTAGGAATTCCCAGAGGAGGAGGAGGGGGGAGTTGTCCTGTCATGGCGGACACCTCCAGGGTCAAATAGAAAATCCTTTGGTTGGTGTTCAAAGTCTTGATAACCTGGCCCCTTCCTGCCATGCCAGCCATCTTCTACCTTCCACTGTGCTTCACACAGAATCACACAAGCACACACACAAAGATACCTACACACAGAGACATACACAAAAACATACACACACACACACACACACACACACACTGTGATCAAGGCACTGTCACTGGCTGTGCCCTGTGTTTAGGACTCTCTTCATCTCTGCATTCTGGCTTCCCTAGCTTCCTCCAAATCTCAGCTGAAATCTCATTTTGTACTTGAAGCTTTTTCCTGATTCCACTGAATAATGAGAAGACTTTCCTCTTTTAGATATTTCCAACTGATCTTGGCTAAACTTTGCACATTGTTTGCCTGTTATCTCCCCCATTACACTGTGAGCTCCTTGAGAGCAGGGACTGGGTTGTTTTTGTTCTTTTGTTTGTTTGTTTTTTGGGGGGAGGGCATTTCTTTATAACCCCAGCACTTGGCAGAAATGCCTAAAACATAGTAGGTGTTCAATAAATGTTTGGGGCAACTAAGTATTGTGGTGGATAGAGTACCAGGCCTGGAGTCAGGAAGATTCGTTTTTCAAATCTGACCTCAGACACTTACTAGTTGTGTGACCCTGGGTAAGTCACTTCACTCTGTTTGCCTCAGTTTCCTCATCTGTAAAATGAGCTGGGGAAGGAAATGGCAAACCACTGCAGTATCTCTACCAAGAAAATCCCAAATGGGGTCACATAAAGTCAGATGTGACTGAAAACAATTGAACAACTAACATTTATTGACTATTTTGACTTATTCCTTCTTTACAGTTTCTGTGTCTCATGAAGCTAAAGCTTCTGAACTGTCACATTTCAGTTCCTTCCAGCCATCTCCATGGTGCTGATTTTGTAGCTTTTAGCTCATCCTCCTCATTGTCTGCTTTGCCCCATTAAAAATATCAGTGTCAAATGGAAGCAGATGTGTGTGGTGGGCCTCTTTTGCTGCTTGAAATCCAGAGTCCTGTTCCTGCTCCCTGACTTTGCCTTGCTGTTTTTAAGACAGTCTTAGCCAGTCTCTGATTGTATAACTCCCCCTGTTCCAAAACATTCAGGGAGCTGGCTGCCTTTAGAGAATCCATACAGCATAATAAAAATAATAATAATAATAATAGCTTGTATTTATATAATACCTACTGTGTGCCCAGCACTGTGCTAAGCACTTTACATAGATCTTGTTTGTTCCTCACAATAATGCTAAGAGATGAATGCTACTATTATCCTCATTTTACAGTTGAAGAAACTGAGGCAAACAGGGTTAAGTGACTTGGCAAAGGTCACACAGCTAAGAAGTGTCTGAGACCAGATTTAAATACAAATCTTCCTGATTCCAGGTCCAGCCTAGAATCTCCCCTGTGCCACCTAGCTTCCTCACCCACCAGAAGGTCTCTGTGTCTTAACACAGACATAAACCTCTTCTCCCATTGAAATGTGATTTAGTGGTACCAACAAAGAGCCACTTCTTAGGGGATCCCTCCACCTCGAGGCGCCAGCCCAGTCCCTCCACTCAATTTTTGAGCCTATTTTCCCATTGCTTTCACTGCTGTTCAGAGCCTGGAAGAATGGCTAACCCTTCACTGTTCCCCCATGGACTTGGTGGGAGCCCATCAGCTGCTTCCCTTTGTCTCTCTTCTCCCCTCTCCCCATCCAAGTGATCTCCCACATTGTTAGTCTCACCCACAAAATAGAGTAATTCACTAATATGGCATCAAGAGGTTTATTTCTCTGATTGTCAGGGCAGCCCTGCCTACCGCTTTTCTGCACGTTATTTAAATTCCCACGAAATCTTTAGGCTCTTGAGAGCTTAGTGTTTGCCTTATGCTCCTTGTTGATCCATCTTTGCTCTATTTAACCCTGCATCTAAGGAGAGTGTGGTCAACTGAGTTAAATTCTGAAGAGCGACCAATGAGATTGAGGACTGCGAAGAAAACCCTGGATTTCACAGCAGAGATATATCATTGGTAACATTTAAGAGATATGTTCCAGTGCAGTGGGTGGGGGTGCAATTTGGGGGGAGCATGTGGGCACTTGCCATGTGTTATGAGAAAACGAGCAGCCCACATACATCAGAGCTGTGCTCCAGATGCGCCGTATTCCAAGGCAGATGTTATACCCGTGTTCACAATTTCCAGTGAAAACCAAAGGGACCATTACAAGAAGCTCACTTTCTTTATAAGAACCCCCTTTTCTAATGAAGGGCAAGGGTGCTGCTTGTAAACAGCTAAAGGATGGAATTCAATGGCATATTGCCAGTGAATTAAGCAAGACCCCTTTTCCCTTGTGGGTGGCTGTGTATCTGTGGCCAAAAAGA